TGGAGAGCCCTGGAACAATTGAGTTTAGCTCAGTTAGTTACAGCATGATGCCAATAAACAAGGAGCACAACAGGTCTGGAGCAAGGGGGAGAAACCAATTTAAGCCACCACAGAATTTTTTTTGCACTTATTATGTAAGCAACTTTTTCAATCAGAAATTCACATAAATTAGATTTAACAAGAAATAAGGGAAAACCAAACAAAAAGTACACCATATAAGGTACCTGGATGAGTCTGTTGCTGTTTAGCAGAGCCTAGAGATCATAAGATGATATCCTAACCCAACTCTTCCCACCTGGGGCGCTCATTTAAACTCTTGAGACTCCCTGGGACCATCTCCAAGTCAAGAAAGATTTGCAGATGGAGCTCAAACTAAAGCCTGTGAGTCAGCATGTTGGAGCTGCTTGCATGATAACATGCTTGCCTGTGATCACTTTTATTTTCCTGTCTACTCTAGATTGCAGCATATGCTCACAATATGGGGCTTTATATAGAGGTGTGTCCTCTATATATCCTCTGAAAGAAATCAGTTAAGCTAGCAATAGCATGCTTTTTAAAATTTGTATAAACGCACAAAAGAAATTGGGGTACAGGACTATTACTAATAAATCAACATAAATAGATCAATATGTCAGTACTTCAGTGCTTGAATCCAACCAGCTATGGGGAATTTGTCCCCTGGTAGCAATCAATCTGCTGTACTTAAAGTTTCCTCACCAGATTTGCAGCTAGCACAAACTGATCAATGCTGTTCCAAGTCAGCAGAGCATAACAGCTTTACATGTCCCAGTGTTCACCCTTGCAGATCTCCTGCTCCTTTGCAAGGACACAGAGGTTAAGCACATGGGATATCTCACACTAACTCACAGTTCTTTATTCAAAACTGGCTTTTCTTATCACCAGTCCAGTGTAGCCCAGCCAACACCTCAGGACCTTTCCAGGTGGAGTCTAGTTTGGTCCTCCAAGAGCAGCAATCCCACTGCAGTGGCCTGTGGCACTTACTAGAAGTAGATGCAGAAAAACAAATTCTGTGAGCCATCCAAATTCTGCTGTGCATCCTGCATAGGGCCCTCTCCTTGGGGGGGTTTTCCAGGCTGTGCTGGGGGAGATGCACAGTCTTGTAAGATCTTGGGCTGCTCTCTTAGAGGAGTAAATAGCAGTGCTAGAGAAGGTATGAGGGACCTGAAGGACAGCTCAACAATCTGGCTTTGGCTTATTAGGGTGACAGTGCTGCTGCTGAGGAAAGGGTACAGAGCACATCCTAGTGTGATATTTTCCACTTGGAACTCTATCTGAAATCACCTATTCCTGATCATTTCTGTGAGGAATTTTTCCTTTCCCATCAGGTGGCTGCTGATGGAGCCTCCTACCAGAAGTGATTTAGGATGCAAGTCACAGGAGTCACTAGAGAATGCATTAGTCCCACCTGAGTCCCAGAATAATCTCTGTGACCCAAAGCAATGAGAGCCCAGATCCTACTAGCTGCTGGAATGGTGGAGAGAACCCAGTCTGGCAGTCCAAGACCTGTGGATGGTGATGCATATACCACCAGGGCAAGCATTTACAGCAGGATCCCCGGATTATCCCAAACAAGGCTTGTGCCCAAAAACTGGTATTAGGTAGATGTAAGGGCTAACAGGTAAATAACTTTAGTAACTACCACCTACCTACAAGTTCTGTCCAGAGCTTTTGCCTCATAACAAGCTCTGTGGGACCAGCTCCAGCATGTAGCTTCCAGAGGATGTTGCTTGTGGATACAAGTTCTTGGAGGTGAAGTTCCCCATGCCTCAAGAACAGGTGGTAGCCAAGGCCTGGGGGCAATCTGTGGTGTGCTTGCATGGCTGGCTGGACAATGCCACCACCTTCCATGGGCTCATTTCACTGCTCCCCAGAAGTGGGTCTGGCTCATGAGTAGCAATGGATTTTCCTGGCCATGACTTGTTGTCCCACCAACCACCGGAGTGTGTGCCAACAGTCCACATAACTTCTCATGGCCCAGGGTCCTCTTCCTAAAACGTCATGCCAAAGACTGAAGAACCACAAGCCTATTGCAGACACTGCCTAACAATTACACTGCCGTCTGGTGGCTTCTTTAGGAAGAATTCCAGAAATTCACAGGAGGGCCCTGCTCTCCGTTAGCAGCAGCTGCTATTTAATTATTGATAATTATTATTGAGTGTATTTTACAAATCTGTTCTGCCAAGCTGTCTCTTGCTTTTCACCCTTTATAATCAGCCACCCACCTCTGACTGTTGTAGGAGAGAAGCTGCAGAAGTTACTGTGGCCTCTCTCCTTCTACAAGGCTTCCCAGCCCTTGTAGTCTGCTTTCCTGCTCCTCCAGTATGGAGGCTTAAGAAAAAGCAAAGCACTGGACACTTTGAAAACCTGTGAAAATTAATGTTCTGATTTCCTTTTTAATGGCTCACATGGAGAGGAGACTGCGAGCTACACAGTGCTCTTGTTTCTTCTCAGTGATGGGTCCCCAAGGTTACGCTTCAAATATTGTGGTGCAGAGCCTGTTTCGCCAGGATAAGTTAGAGCTAGGCAGGGCTCTAAGCTTCTACATTGGTTTCTTTCAAGCTTTTTAGGCCGTTCTGAAAATATATTGTGTAATTTAGGAGAGTGATGTGCTGAACTGAACGTCGGGCTTTCAGTTACCAATATAAAAATGATTCCTTAAGAACACACATTCATTCTGCTTCCTTCAACTGTTCCACCAAGGGGTCCCACTGCTCACAGTGAGATTTGACTTAGCTTCCTTTGACCGTAGAGTCCTTGACTGAAGAGAAGTGGTTGTGGTCTGCATTAGGCTTAGCAGACTGACTGCTGGACTGAATGAGAGGCACCAGCAAGCAGCCATACTTGGGTATTGGCTTCCTTGAAACTTTGTCTATCTTTTTGGGAAATTAATGAGGAAAACTGTATAGAAACCTCTCAATCTGAGAGGGGTCTGTTTTCACAGAAGAGGAGTGGAGCAGCTAAGGCAGTGCTGTTTGCTATGTATCTGTGGCAGCTTGGCCCTGTAGTAGAGTCAGTTCACGGTGATGGGTCACAGTATGGGAGGGTGACTCTTGTCTCTGAAGCAACACGATTCCACCAAGCGTTAGTAGTTCAGAAGAGTCTCTCTATCAGAGAGTGATAGAAGTTCAGTGTTAGTGTCAAGCACTGGGCCTGTTTGATGTCAATATGAAGCTCCTGGGTCACAGTTAAAACATCTCACACTCTGCCACCACAGCACAGGCAGTTTCCATCATCAGTAATGTGTCTTCTCGAGGTAGTCAAGGATGCAGCCATAACTCCTTGATTTCGACTCCTCAGAGATTCCCAGCACGCCCAGGAGGATGTTCGCAGCTCCAGACCCGACAGCCATCGTAAAGTTCCCGTTCCTCTCACTGAGCCCGATGCAGACAGAGGCGGGGGCGGAGGCCGGGGCGCCCCAGGGAGGCGGGCAGCGGGGCGGTGCAGCCGGCCCGGCCTGCCCTGCCCGGCCCGGCCCCGCCGCCGCCTCTGCTCAGCCGGCCCGGCCGCACGGAGCGGTAGGAGGGGGCCGGGGCGCCGCGGGAGGGCGGTGAGGGGAGAGGGGGCCGGACGGCGCTCCGGGGGCCGCTCTCGGCGCCGGGCGGGGGTCGGTCTCCGGGCAGCCCTTGCCCGGGGCCGGGAGCAGGACCGGGAACCAAGAGCTCCAGGGCGCCCCGAGGCGAAGGCCCGGGTGTAGCGGCGTCTCCTGCCCGCCCAGGGAGGCCTCACCCCGGGGCCGGAGCCCCGCTGGGCCCAGGCAGGACTGACTGGGGAGGACCGTCAGGCTCTGCCAGGAGCCCGGGCCCTCAGGATAGGGCAGGTCCATGGTCACAACATGGGAAGTCAGCCCACGGTTGTTTGTCAGGATCTGGCCCGGTGAGGGCAGTTGGGATCAGACACAGCCTCGTGATCAGCAGGCAGGCCCACGGCTCCTGGGGCGAGGGCGTTGCTGATGGAGACCGGCACTCGTACAGCGCTGCTCCGGCCGGTCCTAGGCCGAGCTTAAACCCACTCATGGGGAGCCCCAGGCTTGGCTGACTGGGGCCATCAGGACCCTGACAACAACCTACCCCCTCTATCCTTACTCCTTAAGAGAGGTATGGGCTCAGGAGAGACTTGCTGTACAGTGATTTAACTGCGGTGCGGTCTCAGGACTATTTAAGGGAGCAGATACACAAGACAAGTCACTTGGAAGGGGATATGACATGAAAGACTTGGGGATAGGGATAGTCAGGTTGCCCGTGGCTTAGGGGTAAAAGGGAAATGTTTAAACCACCACTGGAAGGTCGCCAAAGGCTAGGTTCACTCAGGAGCTGGCGCTTGAGCAAGGGTCAGTGATTGTCAGGTAGATGAGATGGTTTGAGGTTGAGCAAATGCCTGGCAGGTTGTGGACCCATATCCCATGAAAAGGTCCCTGGCCCTGAGGGGTGCACAGGCGGGTGGCAGCACTGACCTGCTGTGCAGTATGGAGCCAGCTGCTCTCGCAAATGTGCCAACCAAAGGTGTGAAAGAGAAGCACCAAGGTAAAAGAGAGCAAGGTGGTAACAGTCTAATGCTGGAGGCAGCATCCTTATTCCCCAAACTGCCTTTCTGGTCCAGGACAGGTGCCTGGCTGACTGCAGCTAGCTGGGGGAATTCTGCATGGTTCCCTCTTGCCAGATCTCCTGCGCCTTCTGCTCGGGTTGCAGCTGCTGCAGAGACAGAGAGAAGGCTTACTTCTCCTGCGTAGGGAAAGCTTATTTCTTCCTAGGAGCATAGCTAGTACGTGCTGGGAGGAGGATTCCCCAAACAGGCAGTCAGGAATGGCAGCTTGGGATCTTGAATGGGGAGCTATAAATCAGCAAGCTGCTAATTAAGACCACAGGAGACTGGTGAGTTACTAAAGACCTGTATTACTCTTTTCAGAGCTCTAGACCATTAACAAGACCCCTGGGACCTACTCCAAGTAGGTGACTCTCCAAGGACATCACCCTGTTTTGGGCATGTTCTCAGAGTTGAAGTTCCCTGTGCCCTGGGGACATGTGGCAGCCAAGGCCTGGGGACCCTCGGAGGGACACCCTGTGCTGTGTTTGCATGGCTGGTTGGACAATGCCAACACCTTTGACAAGCTCATTCCACTGCTCCCCAGAGGTAGGTCTGGCTCATCAGGGTGGCTTGTGCTGTGTGGCCGAGTTGCACATCTGATACTCTTTCCCTTTCAGGTTGTTATTATGTTGCAATGGATTTTTCTGGCCATGGTTTGTCCTCCCACCGACCTGCAGGCTGCCCCTACCATTTCCTAGATTATGTGACCGATGTGCGCCGAGTGGCAGCAGGTGGGTAGTTGAAGGAACCCTCGAGGGGGTGCTTGTGCAGGGGGTGCTGTATTGGTCCTGCTCTTTCCAACAAGTAAACAGCATTTTCTGCCACGAGAGGAATCAGTTCCCCCTGCTTCTCAGTTTGATGTTAACCAGTGCTTTGTGACTGAATAAGCATCCCTCTTTCTCACTATGTTGGGAAAAGAAGAAACTGTAAGCCCTGAGTGTTTCTGTAGTTTCTATACTAAAAAAGAAGCAGTAGTGGTGAAGTACTGGATGCAACTAAATAGTTTTGCCAGACTGGCTTTTTGTAAGCAGTCAGTGACCCCTAACCATTGTTGGGTGTAAGTTGGAAACTTCTGGTTCTCCCTGATGGCAGTTTGCTACTTGCTTTAGTATCACACAGTCAAAGTGTCTTGTACTCCTAAAAACTCCTGATGTAACTGTCCATCTGTATACCTGGCCTGTGGTTTTACATCCCCCATTCAGTACACAAAAGAACCTCTAGAAGCTTTCAGACGTTCCAGAGGGTAAACATCATCTTTCAATGTGGTATATTTAAGATGGGCAGCAGTGATAAAGCTGTATTTTCCTATAAGCCTCCCAGAGTGCCCTAAAAATGGACTGAAGAGCCTGACGTGCTAAATGGTGCAGAAAGCTTTCACTTGGAATCATACTTCCCTCAATGCAGCAGACCTGGCTCTGTGTCCTCACACGTCTTGCAGAATGCCCTGCAGCAGGATGCTCTGTTGGGGTTTCTCCCTCCACATGCTACTCAGTGAAGCTCCTCTGCTTCTTGCCAGTCTCATATCTGGCAGTGAATGGGACTTTGCTGGAGTTTGTTGGACATACAGAGAGAGCTTGAGAGCTGCATGACTTAACTGCCATGGAAATGAGGTGGCAAATGCTCTTTTTCTTCAAGACCAGCCTACTTAGCTGCTTTGTTTCTGGATTAAGAAGCAAATGTGGGAGTGCAAAAGCCCTGGGAGAAAGGGCCCATGTCAGTGGAGAAGCAGCGAGATGTTGCTGATCTGGTTTCTAATGTAGTGCTATCTGTTTTTCTCTGTTTCCATTTAGCCTTGCAGTGGAGACGGTTCACCCTGATGGGTCACAGTATGGGTAAGTGGTTCTAGTCCTTGTAAGCTGTGAGATTAATAGAAATCAGTAGATAATTAACTTCCAAGACATGCTGCTAGGAGCTGGGTTGGAATATTTATTATATTATGCAAATTATAAGGCCCCTGCTTCATTGATTCAAAAATCTGTGCCTGTGTTTGAAATGCCTGTTTTCAAGACCCTGCAGTACAGACAGTGGTAACTCTTGCTGTGAGCATTCCTCCCACTCAGGAGGGAACAGTGATTGGCAGAGAGGGGTAGTCTACCCAGGAGAACTCACAGCAGGCCTTCCTACCTGGTCCCCACAAAGTCTGGGAACAGACAGCCCATTTAATGGACTATAAAGCTGGCTGAGGAGAACTGGACTCCAGGATCCATCCCTTCGAGCTTGGAATATGATTTGATTTTGCCACAATTTGGAGTTTGCTTCCCAGGGCTGCTCTCATCACAGCTAACAGGACCTGCACACCAAGGCATTTTAAACAGTAACTCCTCCATGGCCTTTGCTGCCTAAGGGAGGTGGTAATGGCAGAAGATGGGGAATACAGCAGGTCAGCAGCCCTGGTCTCTGCCTGCATGTTGCAGGCTGGGAGAGCTCTCCTCTGTACTGGGGTTTTGTCCCATAGTACAGTGCACATTTTTATCTTTCTGAGGTAGCTCCTGCTGTGGGGAAGGCAAATTTCTGTTACCAGGGGCGGTTCTGTGTATTACTGAGCACCCTTTTCTCCTTTGCAGGTGGGGCTGTGGCAGGAATGGTAAGTAAAGCATCATTTCTTCATGGGGTTGTGATTTCTACAGCTGCAACAACAAATGGGAGAGGAATGAAGGGACAGATCTGGATCCCAGGGGAGGAGGGGCCCTTCCCTGACCCTCTCCCATGAAACAGGATAAAGGTATCACTCAGAGCTCAGGTTTTCATTCTCTTACTGTTTCATCTCTCCTCAGTTCTGTTTCCTTTACCCTGAGATGGTGGACAAGCTGATCCTGCTGGAAAGTCTTGGCTTTCTTCTAGCTCCAGAGGTTAGATCTCATGTATCCTTCCCTTAATTTTTTTTTAAATACAAAAATAGATTCTTTTTTTTTCTTTCCATCACCTGTTCAAAGAAAGCACAGAATGTGACCACTTCCTGGCAGATCACACAAGTCCCAGGGCTCTTCCTTTTGGCAGGCACTGATCTGCTCCTTGTTGCACAGACTGAAGTCCGTCCATAGGGTGCCCCTTGGGGCACACTTGGTAGAGCTCCACATCTTGCAGTCCCTTAGCACTGGAATTTGCTTGTCTGTGCCAAGCCCTTGTACAAAGGAAACTGGAACCTCTGTCCAGGAAACTGCCGGCTGAGGTTATCTTTTTTGCCAACAGCTCGTTGGGTGACCTGGATACAAGATTGGTGATTTCTTTTTCTGTTCCTGGCAGTTCATAAAGCTACATTCCCAGCTTTCCATCATTGATACTGATGCTGGAGCTTTTGCTGGCAGTAGTGAGACAGAAGCCCTAGGTCAGTGAGACAAAATATACCAAACTTTGGAGAGTTGTCCTCAACTCAGAAGAGAGGTAGGAAGGGTTAGAAAAGATGGCAAGGATAAAAAGTTAGTAAGTTCATTACAGCAGTATTAATGTTCCCTTTCTCCCAGAAATGGGCATCTTTAATAAGATACCCATAACTGGTACCAGTTCTGAGGGATGTTGAAAGGTGAAATTCCCTCTTCCACTCTCCAATAAGGGATAAAATCATTCAAAAGAAAGGCGTTACTCCCTTACCTCTCTGTGTTTCAGGACACTGAGGCATGGCTGAAATCAAAACGGAGGGTGATTGACAGACTACTGAGTCTGGAGGCAAAGCAGCAAACTCCCAAAGCACGGAGCCCCGAAGCAGCATTGCAGAGGTGGGTTCCCATCCATCCTCTTCATTTACTGCCTGCCCTCTCCTTGACAGAGTTACAGCTGCACAAATGAGAAAGGAAAACTGTCCCTGCATTTCACCTTTCAAGTCTTCTTCTGGAATCCCAGCAAGACCTTTTGCTTCTACAGCCAGAAGCTGCTGCTTCTTACTGCTCCTTTCTGAAACAGCCCGAGAGCTCACTGTTGCCTTGCTATGTCATTTTTGCTTCACTTCCTCCCTTTTTCCAGCATCACAATCTCTCTGCCATGTCTCCCTCAGGCTTTTAGAAGCAAACAGCCATCTGACAGCAGAGGGTGGGGCAATCCTGCTGCAGCGAGGAGCAACTGAGACACCCGCTGGTAAGGGGCTGTGTGGTGCTGGGCCATTGCTGGGTGTGGGAAGGGACTGGTGCCAACAGACATTGTCTTCTGCAGGGTACAGGGTGCCCTAGCTACAGATTTACACAGCCTAAATGGGATCAGTTAAGTCTGGAGCCAGAGTTCTCCATTCCTAGCAACTGGGTTTGGTGCTCAAATCCTAGATTCAAAAAATGAGAAATCTGAATTAATCCTATTCCTCCCATCTCAAAAAGTCATTGGCAGACCCCAAAAGTGAGTTAAAACAGAACAACTCCTGCTCCTATGAAACATGAAAACCTTGTTTTTTCTTTGCAGGGCTGGTGTATAACAGAGACATGAGAGCCCGTACAGTAAGCACTGCTCTTCTGACGTGCCCCCTGCTACTTTGGAGTCCTGAGCTTACAGAATACTCAAATAGAAGATGCCTGCTCACTGAGCTAGGCCCTGCCTCCACCCAGCCACTTACTTTCTGCTTCCCTAATTCCCACGTGTCCTTTAAATGCTGCTTTTAAAAGAGCCTGCATTTGATCATTGATTCTGCTTACAGAGTCACTGGAAAATGTTACCATTTGTTTTTTTAGAAGTTCCTCTGCCACAGGGCCTCCTGGTCACATTTTCCTGCTGTTATAACTCTTCAGGCAGCAGATGGATGAATGCTTTCTGTCAGCTTCTTTGTCAGATGACCTGAATAAGAAGGGGAGTGTAGCAGAATCCTTAGATTTGGTATTTTGATAGTTATGTGCCACTTTTGAGCAAATAGGGCCTCTTCTACCTGTGCTACTGCTGGGATATGGAAGCCAGGGTAATGCTCTCTCCTTTTTAGTACAAGGATTTTTAAAGCTTTTCTCTATGAGATCATTCCCATATGTACTGCAGCCCAGCAGGCAATGTTGTTGGCAGCCCTGAAACACAGCTGGACACAAGAAGCCTTTGCAGAGCCAGCTACTCCTGTGTGCAGCCTGGATGCTTCTCATGTCCCAGCATGGAAGCTTCAGGGCCACAGTTACTTCCACCTTCAGAGCCACTTGTGCAGGAGGGCTTGGGGACACCCTCTGTCCCCAGCTGCTGTCCCTGACCTTTGACACTTTATCTCTCTTTGCACCTGCAGCAGAGTAGAGAGTTCTTCACAGTGGAGCAGTGTGTGAAGCTCCTGCAGAAGATCCAGGACCGTGTTCTCATAATTATGTGAGTGAAGTACAAACCATACCAACTCTTGCAGTCTCCCCCAGTGGGAGGAATGAAGGGTAGGAAGAAGTGCTCCACTACCCCTTCCTCTACACCAGTCATCCAGACTTTTGGCCAGCTGGTGTAACAATACAGCTTCACATGTGAGAAGTATTTCCCAGTTCCCCACCACTGCCCTGAGTTGGGCAGGCTCCTGGAGAAAGCAGAGAGCAACTGGAACATCCTCCCAGCCTGGCACTCTACTTTCAGGCTGGGATTCCCTGGTGCAAGGCTGACTGAGGAAACGTTAGTCCTGCCCCATCTTCCCCACGCTCTTGGCTTCACCATCCCACCTCACAACTTTCCATTCCTTGGCACTACAGCATGGGACCATCCTGGCGAATATTTCACCCTTCACAGCACCATACCTGCTTGTTATCCTCCTGACCTGACTCTACCCCAGTCAGCAACCCAGCCTGCCCCCTTCTCCAGGCCCCAAAACCTCTTGCCTGAGCAAACAGGTGGAACTACAGCAGTCTCCATCTACTCCAGCTGCTCCTGAAGCCCCTGGTCTGACTGAGCTCCTGCAAGCTCTATCCTGTGGCAAGCAGCTCTGGGGACATAGCCAGTGGCTTGCAGAGCCCCACAAGCTGTAAAGCTGTCTGCACAGCTTGTTCTTTGAGTTGTCCTCTGCCTTTTCCCATCTCCTTGGTGGGCAAGGTGTGCAGGGCTCTGGCTACCTTGGCTGGTGGGGTGCTGTTAAGATTATCTAGAAAACAAGACGAAGTGCTAGCAGTTGAGAAAAGAGGTGCAGTTTTAGCTTCTCTGATCTGTTTTAGTATCCTAAGAGGTTCAGGTTATTCCTGCTTGTCCAGAAATGCAACATTGTGATGAGAGCCAGCCCTAGGAGGACAATATTTAGCCAGTCTCCACTCTGATACCACTGGGCAGTCACCCAAGGTTTTACACAGATAATTTGATAGAAAATAGCTGCTTAGCCAAGCTGTGAGATACACTCTGACTACCATCTATGACTCTGTCATCTGCTATTTACAAGCAGCCTGGAAAGAACAGTTGGGTCTGTCACCCTACTGTCTTGGAGACACTGCCAGGACAGCCACAAAGACAAATGGAGGCACATTGAGTGCTGCACTGAGCCTCACTATTGTTTTTCAGATCACAAGATGGACTCTTGGTACCGCACAACCTACCCAGCAGAAATCACTTTGTGAAAGCCCTGCAGGAGGCATTTGAGTCTACCATCAAAGAGGTGAGAGCAAGCTTCATCCTTCCATCTTGATTTGCCACCAACCTGAGAGCAGCAGCTGGGAAGCAGCTGATCTTGGTGGACACCCTCCACTTCAGCTCTTTTGTCTTGAACAGCACAGCCCTTACATGGGGTGCGGGGTGGAGTTGGGGGAGGAAGACAACTTTGTTCCTGCTGCCAAAGTCCCAAGTTAGTACTACCCTCTGGGCCCAGCTCTTCCCTGGTCCTCCCACCTCTGTCCTGCCTCATTTGCCCTGTCCCTTCCCATGAGTGTCACACAGCAAGCAGTGTGTGCCTGAGGGAACACTTTCCTGGTCCACATCTTATGTCCTTTCCCTCCAGCACATCCAGGTAGCAGAAGTGCCTGGGAGTCATTTTGTGCACTTGAACGAGCCCGAAGTGGTATCTGGGATCATCAGCAACTTCCTGACAGCACAGAACACCAGGGCCAGACTCTAGGAAGCCCTCACAGCTGAAGCAGTCCAGGATACCTGGGAGCTAACAAGCAAGCTCCAGAATTGTCACCATTCCTACCTTGCATTCAACATCAAATTGCAATAATCTTTCCTATGCTTAGCTCACTGCAAGGTGGAAGCAGGTCTGCCATGGGTTTTCTGAAGGGGAGCTGAGCAAAATCTCATTTGCCAAAGAGAGAAAGAATGCTTGCTCTACTTCCAGCTCTGTGAGTACAGGGATAGACGCCCAGAGTGGCCTTCCCCTTGGCTTACTCCAAACTTGCACCCTGAAATGGAGCAGAACACAGGCAGAGGCATCTTCTTGGACAGCAGCAGCACCACCACCAGCTTTGGCACTGCAAGAGAGGTGGCTCATCTTGCCTGCTCCCTGAGGATGGACAGGCTGCTCCCAGGATTTAACCTGCTGAAAGACAAGGAAAGTGTTCTGCTTCTCTGCTTACTGCCGTAGACACCTGAGCTCAGCGGGCCTCAGTGTCTCTGTTCCACTGTAAGAGCTACTGGTTTTTTAAGAATCAGCTTAAATAAAAGCTCACCTGTGCAGAGAAGGCCATTTTAATAAACGCTAGAGAATGTTCCTAATCCTCTAGCTGAAGCAGCTGGGAGAAGTACAAATTATGGAAAAATTGGGATAGATGGTTTCCTTCCTAAATAAAGATTAATGTTCTAATGTTAAGGCTGTCTTCTTGACTCTATAGGAGAACAAACCTCCTTTCTCTTTCAGGCCGCTCACCCAAGCAGCTAAAATGCATCTTGGGAGGCAGCAATTTTTACACATTGTCTGCCTTAGGTAGGCCATATTAAGGATCTTGCCTCCAAGTTAAATTGATGCAAAAAGCCCACTGAAGCAGTCAGGCTTGTCATCTCTTCAAGCAATGCAAACTGTACTTGCAGTTGTTTTTTAGGAGAGGGTAAAGCCATTGTATCTCAGCTCTCTGCAATTTACCACCACTCCCACCTTCATAGTCACATCTCTAGCAAGGCTGCAGGTAGTAAAATAAATGTGTAAAAGCCTGGGTCTGAGTGGGTTACTTCAATCACAGACCTACCACTATGTCCAAAGCTGCACAAATGCTACAGGAGCAGTACATAAGCACTGCCCCACACCTAAACATGCCTGCTGCCATCCTTACCAGCCTTCTATGGGCTGGGAACAGGTTAAGTGGAAACAAGGCATGGAGAGTCTGGTTCTCCTTCCAAACCAGGCTGCTTAAAGTGGCATTTGTTTTTGCAACAGTGCTAGGTATCAGGAATTTTCCATGGCCTAGACATGGCTGCAGAGCTCCATGCACAGCTGGATGACTGAGCACTGCAACACTTGGCCAGGGAAGGAATCACCAAGAAAAGTGGGGTAGGGCTCTGAACCAAACCACTCATCTTTCCTTGTGGCAACAGGTCACAGTCAGGTTTTTCCTAAAGTCACTTCCCTCCTCCTTCCTTCAATAAAATGTGCAAAGGAGCACCAGGTTACAACCCATGATTTTTACCCCTATCCCACCGCACAAGAAGCTGTTTCCCACAGGAGACCAAGGGGGTGAGAGGAGCATTCCCATGCTCTGAAAACAGTAGCAGCAGTTTATTTACAGTTCTTCAACCATTCCCTGCCCCTGCAGAGGCTGTGCTAGGTTAATCCCAGTTCTCACGAAGCTTTAGGAGGTGTGTTTTGGGTGGCAGGGAGATAGAAGTTGTCACAGGATGTGTCTCAGTCCCTTGACCTGAGCACCCTGAGAAGTGGTGCCATGGGGCTGAATGACAGAAGAGCAGGAGGATACTGATGCAAATAAACAGAACTCTCCTTCAGCAGCAGTTGCTGGGATCTCCCGTTTCAGATCCAAGGGTAGAGGCAACCCAAAGCTGCCTCAGTTCCTCAAAATCCTTTGGGAAATGGAGTCAGTAGGCATCTCTCCTACGCTCTCCAGCACAGGCACTTGAGGAACAGTTCAGCACAACCTAGTATGGCCGAAACTTGCGCTGGGCTCGCATCAGTGCGATCCTCTGCTTGTCCTCCTCAAATTTCTTCCTCAACTGGGCAATGTCTAAAGCACAGAAAAAGAGAAAGAACAGGTCACACGAGAGCAGCAGATCTCCCTCTCCTGGGAGCTTCACTTCCACACACCGGAGGGGCTCAGTCCCAACAGCCACAAGCACACACTTTCCAGAGCGGGTTCTGAGTGCCAAGCTGGGGCTCCAGCCGTTCATCTCTGGTGGTGCTGCAGCTCCCTCTTGGGGAGGAATCGGCTAATTTCCCCTTCAATCGCCGCCTTGGTGCAGACTGAATAAACACCTCTTGGAAAACCACAACCCACACACCCTCCCACAAAATATTCCAGCAGCCCTTGCTAGGACAGGTGGTGGCAAGAGGCCATTCAGATCCAGCCAGTCACTTGCTTGCTGGCAGCTGGACGTAGCCTCTCTGAAGGCAGAGGATGCTCTTCGGGACAGAGAGACACAGGCAGGGGTAGGAGGAGACTTGCACACTTACGCTCTCTCTTGGTCTCGCGATGCTGCCAGGCATAGAAGTTGAGCAGCTCTTTGCGGGCCCTTTTCTGTTTCTCCTTCTCCAACACGCGCAGGTTTGCAGCCTCTGTCCGGGGCAGGCCGGGCTTCCGGCCCTTCCGGGTCACCTTCACCCAGCCCTCCTCATCCGGAACACCTTCCTCCTTGGCTGCTTTGGCTTCTTCCTGTAAGGACAGGAGGCTGAGGCAGATGCACACGCACAGTCTAATGCACAGCTCCCCCACAACCCCTCCCTTAAACACAGGCAAAGTTATAGGTCCTGCTTCCACACAAGATTTAAAGGAAGACATGGGATCAGGGCTGCAGGCGTTCAACTCTCAGTCAAAACACTGCATTTCAGCCACAAACCAATTTATTTGTGAATATCTATTGTAAGTCCTAGAGGAAGGGTCAGGTGTTGCAGACCAAACCTGGATCTGACTGCCCACCACCAGTTTTTTTTTTTTACCAGGAGTAAAAAAAGCCCTCTGCCAAACAGAGGGACCCCTCAGCCCTTTCCACTATGGCCAGAGCACTGAGAAATCCCGTTTCTTTCCCTTTGCCTCAAGAAAACTGCTTAGCTGGGTTCCCTCCCTAGCATGGCCTCACCTCTGCCATCTTTTTATCATAGTCTTGCATGTAGGCGTCCACCTCAGCCTTGAGCTCCTTTGGATCCACGATGGAGGCCTCATAGCTGGCGATCCACTCTGAGACAGAGAGGGCACAAGTCAGCAGTAGCTGCTGTTAGAAGCTGGCTAGTGTGGTGCTTTTGGGCAGCTCTAGAGCGAACACTAGAGTGGGAGAAGGACACACTGTTCCCATTTGTGTTCAGCTTCCCCCCACCACAGCCCAAACCAACTTAGCTGCAAGTGCAACCAATACACGACGGGAAAAGTTTGTAACTTGCCCAGGCAGAAGTGGGCTAACCTTAAGCCCAAGGCGCACAACATTCAGGGCTGTGCTTCTGTCAAGGGGTTGTATGTGAAGTATTGCCAACTTCACAGACAGCTGGTGCCTGCTGCACGAGTCTGGTCTCCCATTTTGAGGACAAGATGCAGACAATATCTCTGAATCTATGCACTACTGAAAATATGTCAGGAAAAAGGACCCTTCCAAGTGTCCCCACTCTCCCATAGGGTCACTGGACCAGACTTCAACACCTGCTTCAATAAGATTGCTACCCTGTGAATAATAAAAGTACACAAAACACATCCCCCAGCATAGAACAAAATGGGACATGCAGGGTAGAATTCAGCAAACAATGAGTATAGTTATTCCCTAGCATTAGGCTGTAGAAAGATAATTAGAGCTGACATACTGCTAATGCCGGTTTTCACAGGGTGGCTCCCTGTTGATATTAGCAAGGGACCTTGCTGTGATAGAGCCTTGGCTGCCTGGACAGCTGCTGGTTTCCTGAACACCACGTACGCTACTTGAAATCCCTAAAAGAAAAAAAACACACGCAGGTGAGTCAGATATGTCAGAGAAATTGGTGATGGAGCAAGGAACTGTAGTACAAATAGCTTAAAAAAATAAAAATCAAACCACAAGTAACAGTGAGATAGCGAAAAAAAAAAAAAAAAAAAACAGCGTAAGCTTAAGTAAGTAATCATGTCACCCAATGCCCCATATGTTTTTCTATGCCTCATGTTCTGAAAAGAATCATTCAGTACCTGCCATGTTTTCCCACTAAAGCATCAGTATTCCTCTCCTCTGCGCAAGCTTTACCTTTGCAGTTTTGTGGTCGAAGAATTTGGACGTCAGTTTATCTTTTTTCTCTCCTGGCCCTGGCTTGTCACAAATGTCCACAGACTGCACATGCCCACAGCGAGAGAATAGCTTAGACAAGGAGTCCTTAACAAGGAGAGTAAGAGAAAACACGCGGTTCAGCAAAGGAGGAGCGATGTCTCCCTCGAACAGCCTGCAGAGCTCTCCGGGCGGTTCCCCAGCCCCAGCCCGACCCTCTGCCCGCAGCAGCTCCGAGACCCCGAGGCTCCCAGACACCCAAGGCCCTGCCCTCGGCCCCAGCCGCCCTCACTCACCGGGCCGCAGTACGGGGGCACATTGAGGACGAAGAGCGTGCGCCGAGGCGGGTGCGCGGTGTCGGTCCCTTCCCGCACCTGGTGCTCCTTCACCAAAAGGCAGTGGGGCGAGCGCTGCCGTTCCGCGAACTTCACCGCCAGAGCTGCGAGGGACGCACCGCTCTGAGACATCGCTGCCCCCTCACCCGTGCATCCCGCCGGCCCCGCGCTGCTCCTCACCCGCGTACCCCGCCGGCGCCGCTCCCGATGCCCCGCGCTGTCCCTCACTCGCGTAGCCCCTCACCCGCGTAGCCCGCCGGCCCCGCGCTGCCCCTCACCCGTGTAGCCCGCCGGCGCCGCTCCCGCCGCATGCCCCGTGGCGGCCGCCATCTTCTCTGCGCGCGGCAGCGCGGGGGCCGCCGGGAGATGTAGTTTCCCGGGCGCGGCGTGGCCCTGATAATGGCGGCGGCGGGTGGAGTCGCGACAACCCCGGGGTTGAGTTCATGTTCTTGTAAAAAGACTGTAAAACTCAGGCACTGTCCTTAATCTGAGAGAGGCAAGTAAATCTTAAAGAGATGTAGAAACATTCAAAGGCAATTGTTTTTAAAGACTCTTGTTAATTAAAAAAAAAAACCTCAAAAAACCTTTACAGACCAACTTGTAACGGAAGATGGAACCATTTCAAAAATACTGAAGCAAGACTAATGTAGGTGACAAAATATGACATGATACGGAGAGTTCATCCAACCAAATATCAGGTTAGTGAACATTATTGGAAGGTACATGCAAAAGCCATGAAAATATACCAAACTTGCACATTGTGGCATCATTTCAGAAGTGCTCACATTTTTGAAATATAAGAAAGAAAATCAAAACAAACAAAAGAAACACCATTACAAATTACCTACCACCTCTCCTGGCCAGCCATTTAATTTAATGTCTAAATCAATGCACATTAATTCAGACTGCAGGCAATTAGTATTTCATATGCAAGTTCATAATCTCTACCAGACCAGAAAGAAAAAAAAAAAAAACAAAACAAAAAACACCCACAAAAATATAACCATGTTGCATGAGGATAAATGTAC